CTGCCACTCCTTGCTCCTTCTGATTTTCATCTGCCACAATTTATTCATTTTTTTTGGAAACTTTGAGATAGCTTCACCCTAGGAGAAAGTACCTCCAAACTAAAGGAGATATTAAGACCTTTATTATAAGGTCTGCATTATAAGACTTACTCCTTATTTCTAGTGTTATCCCGTAAGTTGCTTGTGATCTCAGCTAACCATGCTGTGTAGACTGTTCATAGGTCTATTATTAAAACTAGGTAGCACCACAGATAGGAGAAAGTTCTACCTGCTATATGTGTTTTAAACCAAGTACTACTTTCAGAAATAAATGTAAAGTTTCACTAAACTGAACTAACTCTTATTTTAAACATAGTTCCACTTTCAAGTGATTAATGATCACATCCTTCGATGTCATTTTTATACCTCAGTTAAGTCAACCTTCTTAGTGAGAATTTGTGCAAACTTTATTTCCCAAAATACGCAACTCTGATATAACCTGTTTGCAATGGTCCTATTAAGTTTAGGGGAGAAAAGAAATGGCCACATCTAGTAGCATGATCAAAGAGAATAAAAACTGGTCTGAATCATTTTACTCTAGTATTTTAATATGCCACTTACCTATCAGCTTAGGGAACACGTCTTGTTATGTCAGTAATAAGGGGTGGAGAAGAGGATAGGGCAGGACTTTTAGCTCTTCATGCATCAGCTTTCTGTGTAGTAGTTCCTGATTGACTGTGTACTCGTGATATTCACAGGTTCTGGTGAAGATAGCGTGCATCTTGCAAACCACTAGGGAATTCTTACATGTGAAAATTCAGCCCTTTGCAGTTTGTGGAGGGATGAAAATCTATGCTTATGCTGGCATAAAAGTTGAGGTAGATTATTGCCAGTTTTCAATAAATACCATCTTTTAAATGGTGTGTAAATTATAATGGCAAGAACAATTTATAGGAAAGATATTAGTTAGAAGTGGAGTATAAAATGCCGCCATAAGTCATTTGTTTATCTAGAAATATGAAACTAAGCAGATGAGCCTGCATGCAAATCTTTAAAACTACCCATCAAGAATACTGCTGACATACTAAATGTTTTTGTCAAAGATTTTTGTTTTCCTGAAATCAGTTTTTGAAACAGAAGTCCCATAAGACTATGCTTGTTGGAATAAAAGTTGTTTCATCAAAAACACATGGAATGAATAAATAAATAATGTTACAGCACACTCATTTTATGAAAGTTCAGAGCTTGTTCTATGGGTGCTGCTTTCTTTACTACAAGCTTTCCTTTTAAGTTTTAGCAATACCGAAAAGAAACCTTTAGATCTTAAACTAAATACTTAAGGGTTTACTAAGCAGTAGAAGCTGGTCCTTTTTCCCCTGAAAGTTCTGTTACTGAGATGCACTGCAGTAAGTTCATTGGCAGATTTCTGATCCCTTTTCCCATGAGATTTTTGATATATGTTGTGAATGTTGAACCCGGTAAAGCTCTGCCTCTTGACTGTGATGTTTTTGGAACATGGAGTTAATGACTTGGTACCAAGGACCAAGCAGGGATTACTCCAGCACAGTGGCTTGTGTTTCTGAAGAACTGGAGGTAAGAGCCTTTTCCTCTATGGAACTGCTCTTTGTGCCAGTTCCTCTTCCTAAGTTCTTGGGGAAACAGTGCGGAGACTGCTTCAGAGCATTGGTGCACTAGAGCGTGGTGCTTGCCACAGGTGTTAGCTCTTTTGAACAGCTGATGTGCAGATTGCTGTAGTGGTCTTAACTGAGACTGTTGTCTCCACTGAGAAGTAATGAGTATAAAGTAACAAGAAAAAAATTAAGGGGAGCTGATCGGGGAAACAGTGAAAAGAAATAGCTTGCTCCTTCCCTGATCTAATGTAAGATTAAAATTAAACACCTGGTTAGACTTAAAAGCAGATCAGTTGTCAATAAAATGTGTATCACAGCACTTCTACACACTTGGCTGTATTACATCTGAGTGTTTCACATTATATATGCATGAAGCCTGCTGTCTAGCTCTGCTGCTCCACAGAATGCCAGAACAGCGTTAGTAGAACACCTCTGTGTGAGGTGGGGAGAACTGCATACAGCTTGCGAGAGGAAGGAAGATCCTGTGGTTTTGCTGTCATTCAGGAAAACAGTCTTCCTAAATGTAGTACAGTGGATAGATAATCTTGTATGCTTTAAAATGACAAAACCCCACCAAGAACAACTGTTTGTGTAGAACGCTTTCTTCAGAGCCTAGGGGTTACTTGTGTAAACTTGCTTTTAAGAGAGCGGCTGGGAGATGTTGCTTTGAAAACAGAACCTAAATGCTTCCAGATGGTAAACGTGACTGTTGGCAGTGCACCTGCCTGCACCTTCTAATGTGTTGTGGCATCAGGCTTTTGTCATGAGTATACGGCTTACATATTTTTATGAATTCCTTTTTTCAGTAATTTCTTTCATACTTTTCTGCAGAATGGATTCTTTTTAACCAGTTTTGCTAATATTTTAACTTTCAGGAGAAAAGTATGAGCTACATGCTGCAACTGATACTACTCCTAGTGTTGTCGTCCACGTATGCGAGAGTGACCAGGAAAACGATGTGGAAGAAGAAACGAAGAAACCCAAACCAAAAATTATTCAGACGAGAAGGCCAGATTATTCTCCTACCCATTTTAGTTGAACTGCTGTTGTTTTTCCAAGGGTTACAAGTAGACACGTGCAAGGGAAACATTTACTATGGAAACAGCATGTCACAGGTTTAATGGCAACAGCAGCAGACATAGTAGGAGAAATTCCAGTATAAGTTTGCTCAGAAAAAATACAGGAAGCTTCATCCTTATTTTTCATGCTGCAGGTCGATGGATGTCGTGAGCATATTCCCAGATCACTGGGAATGAAAGATAGGCAGAAGATGACATTTTGAGACCTCACTGGACAAACTAGGTTTATTTTTTTGGGGGGTACTGTAGGCTGTTCCACTATAAAGCAGCTGGGGGAAGCTTGCTTTCTTCTGTCTCACGTAAATCCTCAAACTAATAGGCTAGTCGTTATGTGAAGTACGTAGCGATAACAGGTGGTTTTAAAGATTACAAGTATGGGAATTGTAAACCTTTTTCTTATAATAGATTTTGTGCATGTGTATTCATTGTCTTCTAAAGCAACTTTGCATTATTTTCTATACTTTCTCACGTGTTTCTGGAAATCTGGGAAATAGTTTAAAGTATTTATTATCTCAGCATCCTGGACTTACTACTAGATGTGTATATACATACATATTTATATTTGTTTTTATTGGCACTCATTTTCCAGCAGGCGTACAATTTCTTTGGCACCTTATTTTGGTGCTCTGTAACTTGTGCTTTTAAAATTTTAACCTTTTAAATGCCTATATAAGATTTTATCTGGCAAAGTAATGGAAAAAATGTGCAATAGGAAAGTTGTTTAAATAAGTTGATTTTAAATTATTTAAGTTTAAATAATTTATATCTTCAATAACATTTGTTCAGTAACTGACTTTCTCATTTGGAAAAAAGTACTTACATGTATAAATAAAGCTAATGTTGCATATTCACAGAAATGTAATTTTTCAGTGAAAAATATGATAACGGAAAGATGTGAACTCTACTCTGTACATGAATCTGCATTGTTGTGAGCAAAAGTTTAACAGTGTTTGAAAACTTGCACGCAGTGCATAGAACAGCAAAGAGAGATGGAGTGCCTTTTTCCTTGTTCATTCCTGGTGTGAACTGTTCTACAAGCCGCACACTTGTATCTTTTTCTACTGGCTTTGTATGTCCATAAATACAAACTTTCTTAGCTTTGCTTCCAAAATAAGCTGGTATTTAGAAATGCTTAATGCCAAGTAATGATGCATAGTTAAGTAATGGGTGTATGTGGGAGAAGCTTTAGAGATTTTTATATGTTAGTGTTAAAAGACAGTAGCTCATGACATAAAAGTTTAGAGGAAGAAAGATGGCAGAAGTGTATTTTATTACTTGTCTTTTAAAATAGAGATCCTCACTTTGAAATAGGTTTTGGTATTTAAGAGACAGTAACTGATATCTGTGGGGAAATATCACTACAGTTTTAGAAAGGTGATGTTTGAAGCTTCTCAGCATGTTTTTAGAAATCAAAACATGATTCTCTGTTGGCTTGCTTTTGCCACGGTTGGTCAGAGAATGAGTTTTGTAGCTGGAGTTAATGTAATGAAATCCATTCTGTGCCATTTGAAGCAAGTATTGACTTAAATGCCCAGGTTCACACCTCGTTTTTGAAATAAATAATACATATTTTAAAGTAAGATGTACAATGAAGCCATTCCAAGCCACGGTGCAGTGTAAACACAGTGTTACTGAAGGCCTGTCATTGTACTAAGCAGAACAGAAATTGATATCCTCTGACCACAGAGAGCAGGACTATGTTGAACTTTAGTCATGCTTGCAGTTAACGATCGTGTTTTGAGTGGTATGCCCTGTAAACTGAAACAAGCACGGACACTTCGTGTCTGACTTGGACCTAACTCCAGTGATGCTCTCTCCATGTTAACAGCGTTAAGAAGAGCTAGTGCCATGTATTGCTGGAGCCATGCTTTATGGACGTGGGGGTGCACAAGGTTATTTGGTGTTACTGAGGTGTGACAATTAGCTGGATACATGTATGGCTTATTAAGACACAAAGTAAATAAAAAAAATGGAGAGAAAATTTGTAGGTTTGCCACAACTGCCTTTAAGCCTTTCCAAGATTTTTTCCATGTTTCTCAAATTACTACTGGGCTTAGTGTTTCACCTAATTTGGTTGAAAATTGTTGGAAGAATAATTCCTGTTCTGTCCTCTTTCTGTCTTTCTATGATTACCAATCAAAGCATTAGTTTTGCATTAGAAACCCAGGTAGTTGCTGTTCTGTTTCCTAGCGATCCTGAGAAAGCAGTGCTACCTTTCAATTAAAAAGCATAGGATCTTAAATACCAGGATGGCTTTCGTCATTTTAGTACACTGTCATCTGCCTGGTAAGGTGGGCACTAGAAACCATGGAAGTCTTGGGATGGTTACAGTGTTTCCCCTTCTGATGGTAATTGTAAACAAAGGTTGTGAGGCAGTGACTTGCCTGTCTTTCTGGTTGTATATCTGGCTTGTGCCACCTTCTGTTATCATTACTGCAGTGTGCTGCGTGCTTTTTCTCTTTTGTTTTTTTTTTTTTAAATTGTTCAAATGAATGCTTAGTTGGTATTTTATACAGTTGTATAGTATGGGGCATATTTAAATTAAAATATTTTGTTGTCTTCTTGTAAATGTCGTGGTATTTATGCATGAAACATGTTGAAGAGTTTGTGCCAAAATCTGAACTTTAAGCTTCCAAACACTTCTGATTTGAAAAAGGTAAGAATATCATCCTAGGTCAAATCCTTACCAGCCAAATGAGTTTATTCAGATAAAAGCTTTCCAGCCTTCTGCTTAAGACTTGCATGATCTCAATCAAAGTATGAAAATCTGCTAATGAACAAAATATAGTCCAGAGTATTCCAGTTAAAAACTGGTTCTTCTGTGCCTGAAGTTGATGCTCTTCCTAGTAAAGGTGTCAACATCTTATTATTTTGTAATAATCCCTGTGCATTCATAATATCCTTACCAGTTTTCTTCTACAACATGAATAATTCTGGTTTTAAAGCTCTTGGAATATGAAAATATATCAACATTTAAATGGCTTTACCGATTAACTGTAAGCCTTTGTGTTGTGAAACGTTACGCAAAAATGCATTGAAGGTTGTTTCACTCTTGATACGGATAGAAATCCTTTCACAGCAGAAAGGAGTTACTGATATTAATGCTCAGCATTCTTCTCTACTTACGACTGGGAAGTATTGATGTTTGTAAGGAATTGTTTTATACACCAAAGTGGTTTGAAATAATAAAATGCTGCTGCTCATCAATGGCAGGCCCATCCAGGGGAATTCCTGCGTAGAGTAATAGAAACAACTTAGTCCTTAAGTGATCTAACAAAAGATAGAAGGTGAAATAGTGATTCCAAATGAGCCATACTACTTTACATTTCTTTTTCTTTTGGGAAGAGTAGCTCTTTTTTTTTTCCCCTCTGCATGACAGTAGCGTACATGATCTCCATAAATATTTAAGTGATCACTAGCACTTGTAATTTTGCAAGACTTGTTGCCAGCTTAGTGATACACATCCTTGTTGTTGGATTATGCATTTGTGCATGCGTTACTACATTAAGGACCTTACCTTGTTACCAAGGTGAATTCAACAACATGTAAGACTAAAATTTGTCTCTAATCAGGGTTTTGTTTTTCAGAACAGCAACAAGTGTAATAACTTTGATATTTGAAATACTGCACAAGTGTCTTAGTTGTTGTTCTTGTGTAGTCCAGACTTGTCAAGGGTGGGGAAGGAACAAACTCCAGCAACTCTGTCATGTATCATTTTAACAGTTAAAGCATGGATTTTGCCCTAGGCATAATCATCTGCCTAGTCAAGTTTTGCTTTGTCACACTAGAAAGAATGTCTTGGGGAAGACAAGTTCTTTAACTTGAAATTGTGGTTTCTATCTGCAGAGCTTGCTTGCTTGTTCTGGTATGTCCTGAACCCTCTCCCAGTTCCAAACATAGGAAATTATAGCAAGGGGTGGACCTTTACTCTAGGCATGGACTAAGTTTGGAAATGCACTCACTAGGTCTTGGATTGCTGTCATCTGCTTTTATCCTGGCTTGCCCAACACACTTTAGAAACACTTTGCAGAAAATTATACCTGCTTTATGCTTTTAATAATTCATGTTTGGATGTCTAAAAAGAAAACAAGCCAACTAACAAAGATAAGACATCCCCCAAGATACCGTACATTACAAAGGTGACTCAATTGAGTAGGTGACAGGATGGATCTGACAGGACTGGATTTATCTTCTCTAATAAAACTTCTGTTGATAAAGTAGTGAATATTACACTTAAAACTTTGTCACTTACCTTGTTTGTGCTTATGTATCTAAAATTATAGTATCTCTGTCATCTTGCTTGCCTTTTTTTTCAGTAACTGGCAATTGTTTTTTACTGTGGTACGCTCCATCCGAGGTATGAAAAGAAATAAAATGATGGGAGTTTTAAGTATGAAAGGTTGAACAGGTGGAGGAAGAGCCAGAGGCTCCAAGTGGCACTTTGTCACTTTAGGCAGTCCTGTCACCTATTCTGTTTTGGGCTTTCTGCCTCTCGAAGACCAGCTCGAAAAGCTCCAGTTCTTCCTAATGTTGCTTCCTGCTCCCACCTTGCCCTTCTTCCTCAATATGTTATTCCATATTCCCAGAAGATTGAGAGTCTGAGACTTACAAGCATTTCCTAGATTGTCTTTCTGAAATCACTTTTTCTCTTACCCAAGGAGAGGCATAGCTCAGTGTCTGTGGCATCAGAACTTTCTTACAGGCTTTGCAAAGGTCTTTGTATGCTGGTAGCACAGCATGGGGGGAGCACCGAGGGAAACTTTTCAGTAGTCGTCAGTCTGGTGCTGTTCTTGCTGCTAGATTTGGAGTCTGTCAATAAGGATTTCCATATGTGGAGTGATTATGTATGTATAGCTTGCTATGTACAGCTTTGTAGTCTCAGTCCTTTTCATAGACTGAATTTGTTGGGGTGGTGCTTTGGGGGGTTTGTATCTTTGTCCCATTGTGAAATCTTTCTTCTACTTTACCTTTTTTTTTTTGTCCTCCTTCCTGTATATTGGAGTGCATTATGTACCATCTACCAAGCAGGTCCTATATCTCTCTCCTTAACTTTTAACTTTGAGTGCGTGCATGTTTTCTTGCCATCGAAGTGTGCCAGGAATTCCTTTTGTTTGCAGTTTCATTACTAGCACATCCCGCTTGAATAAAACTTCTAAGCACAACTAAGAGCTTTTCCTGTATTCACCTAATGCCCAAGGTGTCATGTTCTTTATTAATCCTAATGAAATTATATCTGAT